ACTGTTGGCTGCAGCCCAGCGGGAGCAGACAGGAAGTGCGAGGTCTCTTTTAATAAAACAATAAACAATAAATGTGTACCATATTCTTCTTCATGGAAAAATAAGACATCCCTGAAAATAAGACCTAGCGCATCCCTGGGAACAAAAATTAATATAAGACACTGTCTTATTTTCAGGGAAACAGGGTACTAACTGGTTTATTCCAGAAGTCCATAGGTAGCAAAAGGCTAAGTTCTGTTGATGTGTTTTTGATACTTACTTGGAAATTTGTGTTCCTGGCTGAGAGCAAGTAAGCGTTTCACCTCTGTAGAAAGAAAAAAAGAGCATCAAATTTTAAACTAATAAAACAAAACTCACTTTTCTTGGTGACTACTTGAGGAATTTAGCAATAGTAGACTCACTAACGAAATGATTTCAAACTTACCTCCCTCATCTATTAAGTAGCTCGCAGCTATTCCATCAGTGCCTGTTACATCACAGGAGTAAATTCCCAAGTCTTCCATCCCAAGGTCTTTAAACGTCATTTTTGTCCTTTAGAACAAAATACTTTCTTAGAAATGCAGGTGAGTGGCATCAGTGGATCTGGGTTCTGCCCTGTCTGTGGGTAGGATGGCATTTGCACACACCGGCCCTGTTATGTGGAACACTGTTCCCACCCTCTTTGCTGGACTAAAGCCTACTGTCTAGTAATACAAATCTGGCGTAAAGATACATAGCTGTTCTGCAATTGCTGTGGAGCAGGACAGGACCGGACAGGACAGGACTGGACCGGCTACTGCCGCTGCCAGGGGCCTTCCCTATGTTGCCCACTGGGTTCCTCTTTTCTGAGCTTGTCACCCTGGCGGGTGCTGTTGTTTCATTGTCTAGATACCCCCACGACATAAGCTCTCTACCTGCAGGTGCAGAAAGTGTTAGTTGCTGTTGTATCCCCCACCTAGTGCCATGCCTGGAACAAACAGCACAGACCTGAGGAAATATTTGTGGAATAAACAAGTAAGTGAGTGGACCAACCGTCTAGTTGCCCTGTTTTCTGTTTAGTGAGTCGTGCTGGCAATCCATGGAGATGGGAAGCAACACAGTGTTTCTTTTCTTTGACGAAATGCTAGCTTTACTTCAAGAACTTTATAGCCAAGTGACAGGAAAATGTCTTTTAATGACAGTGTTTCCTTGCCCTACTCCAACTACATTGTCATCTTTTCCATTTTATTTCTTAGATGTACTGGGCTTCATTGTAATAGAACACTCCCTTCAAATGCTGTGTTTTAGCACATACAATTCAGGAGAGTTGGCACTTCAGCAAGGCGAAGTGAAAAAGAAAACTTGGAATCAGAGCTAACAAGAAGTGCTGGAACACAAAATCAATTCTTTCCCCCTTCCTCCACTAAAAATAAATAAATACGAGATCCACAGAAGTTAATCAGTGGCATGCTAGTGAATCAAGAGAGGGAATCAGAAGGCATCTGTTCTTGCTCCCTGTGACTGAGTTTTTCTCACTCATAAGTGGTGGTGAAAATAGCTGACGAGATTACGCTTAATCCACTAATTTCCCATAACTTGAAGCAAGTATTAAGTTCTTCCCAACAACCCCATAGGCTCCTCACCACTACTTTAAGATTCCAAAATTTCTTAGAATTAATGAGAATAATCTTATAATCAATTTTATACCTACCCAAGTTTTTCTAAAACCATAAATGAGATAATATATTAGAAAGCATGTAGACAGACGTGAAAAGCACTTTCTAAGGATTATTTTAAGGGTTTAATTCTTCATGATTTTCTTTTAATTCTTCATGAATTTTATTTGCCATCTCATCTCCTTATTCCAAGTAATTAAAAAAACACGTGAAGGGGGTGCTTCATGTTCCTGTGGCTAAAAGGAAACCCATTCGCATCATGAACCTGGTCTTACTTGTTGCCTTTACTTTCAGCTACTAGCCGTGCAGAATCCTCAATTGATACATAATCCTTGGACCAGGTGAACTCAGAATTTGGTGACATCTTATCACACTCAAAGTTCAAAGAAATGACTCCATCGTCGTCCACACTCACAACAATCTCTTTGGTTCCTAGGAGACCACAAACAAGATCTGGTAGAAATTAATCAAGTCAAGCATTTTTACCTTTACTTTAGCCTCAGACAAAACAAGGTCTTGATCCTGTGGGAGAGAAAGTCCCAACTGCTTACGGAGGGCTCCTAGTGCTAATTGCAAATTAATTGTCATGCGCTAAGAAGAAATGAAACGAACGTGTCATGTTTCTTATGTAGAGCCAACACACGGGATGTGTTGGTGCCATTTCCCCCACATGTTCTTGCTCAAGGTCATGATGTGACTCGTGGTACCGGTTTGAGAAATGCAGCGATGATAACAAGGAGGGGACTGAGACGCGTTGGAGAAAAAGAAAGTTGAATGGGTCTGAACCAAGGCCCAAATCATGACTTTTGTCTCAAGAAAACACACATTCAACTAGTCATTTGGAATAGGTAGACAAAGAAACCAACTGAAGGGAGCCTGGTGGGGAGAATGTAAAGGGAGTCAGAATTACCCGTGTTCGCATGGTCAACGTTCTAAATCACGTCCGGGTAGAGAAACACCTGGAAGCTTGCTTTCCTGATCTATGGGTCAATCTAAGGACGTCCCTCCAAAGCAGAGGCACACCAATCTAGAAATAGCTCTTTCAGCAGTGTAAGCTGAAATGAATTCTGAAAAATCCAGATATTTGAAAAGATTAATTTTTAGATTTTAAAAGAAAACAATTCAGTTTGTGTTTTAAGTTCTTTTCTTTTTGAGAGTTATAGTAAATTGTGCCTGCATGGAACAGAATCTAACCAAGAGTTGTACAGCATAAAAACATTCACATGCACACTAAATCACCTCAGAAGGAAAGAAAAGGCTCTCCTTGTATTGAAATGTATTCAGTTGCTAGTCTAAACTTGATTTATTTTAGTACTCTAGGAACAATATATTTAATGCCAGCCTGGTACAACTTTATTTGTTAAAAAGCATAAACTATACTCTAGCAGATACTTTGCACTGGTACTGTCCAATAAAACTTGCCAATGGAAAAATCCATTGGGGGAAAAAAACTGGCAAGAGGGTCTTGGTTCCTAACCCTGGCAGCCCATCGAATTTGTGTCCTTATTCAAGGCAGTGTAGAATTCAGTAATAAACCTCCAAAATGTGATTTTAACTCATAAAGCTTAGAGCAAGTTAATTCTAGGGAAAGGTTTTAAATATTAAAAACCAATAAAGGGTTATTTTCAGATAAGCTGAACTGATGACCAGTTAAAATGATAATGGTTCTCTAATTCTATGTCCACGATATATTTATATTTAGGAAAGCAGCCCTGGTGGCAAAGTGGTTATGAGTTGGGCCGCTAATTAAAGGTCAGCAGTCTAAAACCACCAATTGGTCCATAGGAGAAAGATGGGGCTTTCTGCTCCTGCAAAGAGTTACAACAAGTAAACCCACAGGAACAGTTCTACCCTGTCCTATGGGGTCACTATGAGTCAGAATCAACTTGTTGGCACGGAGTTTGTTTTTTTGGTTTATATTATGTTTAAATGGTGATCCATTCCACTGCAAGACGCAGGCCAGGCTCTATTCCTGAGGAAACCACCACCATAGATTGTTGCATAATTAATACCAAACAAGGGCTTTTATTAAAATCTAAAAAGAATTAACATTGAAGAGTACACATTGGGGGAAAACATGACCATGTAGCCAACAAGCTGTAGCTACCCTCTCCAAGTAAAGATCTCAAAAAGGTGGAGATGAATAAAAAACCTGAGTTCTGAATCTCCCTGGTAGAACCAAGGCTGAACCAGACCAAACCCCAAACCCAAACTCACTGCTATAGAGTTGGTCTGACTCACGGCAACTCTACAGGACAGGATAGACCTGCCCCCTGTGTTTCCAGGACCGTCACTACCATGTTTCCCCGAAAGTAAGACATCCCCCGAAAATAAGACCTCCCCGAAAATAAGGCCCCCAAAAGCTACTGTAACTCTGGACTCTGGACTGTTGTGGCGGGCACCGCCATGTAGCTCACTGTTGGCCGCAGCATAGCCGGAGCAGACAGGAAGTGCAAGTAAATGTACCATAGATTATGAGTAAATATACCATAGATTGTTGTACATGGAAATAATGGTAGTAACAAGAAATTCTTGATACTGTAGGATTCACAGTTTGTCTGGTTATGCTGGTTTGTGATGACAACTACTACTGTACCATATACAGGTAATAAATTTCCTTTTTTGTTGTTCAACAACAAATGTGTACTGTAATCTTCTTCATGGAAAAATAAGACATCACCTGAAAATAAGACCTAGCGGATCTTTGGCAGCAACAATTAATATAAGACACTGTCTTATTTTCGGGGAAACAGGGTATTTACAGTAGAAAGCCCAGTCTTTCTCCTGAGAAGCAGCTGCTAATTTTAAACTGCCTTTCTTGCAGTCACTGCCCAAACATAACCACTATGCCACCAAGGCTCCTGAACCAGACACCAATGGGTAATTCAGAGGGAGGAAGCGCATGTAAGAAGTCCACAAAAGACTGTGGATTCTCTGTGGACCCGAAAGGTGCCACTGGGCAGGCCTCTCCCCCAGCATGTTAGTCCATGGCATTGGGATAAAGGAAGTGGTGAATGTGTCCCTCACTCCCCACACCCACCACACTTGGACAGTGGCATCCCTCCCTGGACTTACCTGGGAGGGTGGCATCACTGGGGGAAGTGGAACTTGGTTGAAGCCACACTGGGGGAAATTAGTGTCAATGAGCCTAAAATTCATTATCTCCTTGCAGCGCTGGGATTGAAAAATATGCACAGGTTCTTCGCCAATGAGGGATGTGTTAAATTGACCCTGGCCCCAGCTCCAGTGAAGAGGATTCTTGGAATATGGGCTGGGATTTTCGGACATTTTTCTCTCCCTCTCTTCGTGACAACTATTTTGATCATTGGCCTACACTCTCTGGCAGCTGCAAAAGCCTCCCTTGAGACTGGGACCTTGACAGGAAATAGTAACCACCCTTTGTTTGTCATCAATGCCAGCTTAGAATAAGCTATTGACACATGACCCAGCCACCCTTGACCCTCCAACACTTCTGACTTGTGCACAGGAAATATTTTCCACTCTCATTCCACTTGACCCACAAACAGATCCAAATATAGAAACATCATATCTCAGAAGCAACAGGCAATCTCAATACAAATGAGAAAACAGAGTTGATAGGACTGTCTTAAAGCCCAGTAAGCGATTATAATGATAAAGTACTGCGATCAAGCAATGTTTGGGAACGCCTTAGTCTTAGGACCATTTTCAATTAAGCCATCTAGATTGTGCCTTAATTCTGAATAACAAGGCTTTATGTTCAGGACCAAGGAAGCCTCATACTGAAAGAAAAATTGGCTTTAGAAACTGTGTTATTCATAATGTAAATTTCTATCATATTAAATTCTTTGTTTCTTCCGTTGTGACTTAATACCTCATCAGCTTATAAGACCTATTTGAACTTAAGTCCAATAAAATTCAATGTAGAGAAAAAAAATTCTTCAAAACAAATGAGAACAAAATACAACAAACCCAAACCTTTGAACACAGCAAAAGCAACACTCTGTGGTCAATGTATACCAGTAATTACACACATCAAAAATATGAACCCAAATCAACACCTTAAGCCAACATCTACAAGACTTAGAACAAGAACAGCAAAATGAACTGTACGTCACAAGAAGGAAAGAAATAATAGATAAGATTGGAGGAGAAATAAATGAATCAGAAGACAAAAATGAGAAAAAATCAACAAGACAAGAAGTTTGTTATTTGAAAGAATGAACAAAATTTATAAACCACTGGCGATTTTAACAAAAGAGAAGTAAATATGAATAAGATATGAAATGATGACATCAGTTGGTACAGAAAAGGCATTTGATAAAACCTAGTATTCGTTTTTGATTTTTTTAAAAAGCACTCAAAATAGGGATCGAAGGGAAATTTCTCAGCATACTAAAGGTCATATGTGTAAAACCAATGGCCAGCATTTTGCTCAATGGAGAGAAACGGAAAGCATTTCTCTCTAAACAGAATAAGACAGGTTGTCCTTTCTCACCACTCTTATTTAAAACTGTTTTGGTCATTAGATATCAAAAAGGAATTAAAGGCATCCAAATTGGCAAAGAGGAAGTAAAACTCTGTAGATGATCCCATTCCATCCACAGAAAACCCCAATGGCTCAATCAGAAAACCACTGGGAATAATTTGGCAATGTGTCAACTTGCACAAATCAACAGAGGTATGGATAGACCCTAACATCATAAAGACCATCGATTGAAAAACAGGGACAACTTTAAGGGTGTGAATACAAGGCATAACCAAGCTACCAAAGAATGAGAAACAGTTACATTACCTAAGACAAAATAAAGGTCTGGCACCTCCTCAATAACGACAAGTATGTACACCAGAAGACTTCACCGGAAGAGTGGAAAGACAACCATAGAGTAGGAAAAAATGGGGGCTATGATAGATTGCATAAAGGGCCAATCTCAAAAGCCCACAGAAAACATCAACACCTAATAAAAACACAAATAATCCGATTTAAAAATTGACAGATGACATAAACAATTCACAAAGACAATTCACCAGGAAGCCAGTGACTATATGAAGAACAGCTTTCAATAATTAGTTATAGGAGAAAAACAAACTAAAACAATATTTAAATACCATCTCACATCAATATTTTTTTTAAAAACCAGAAAATAACAAATGCTGGAGAGGATGTGGGAAGACTGGAAGCCGCATACGATTCTGGGGGGATTGCAAACACTAGCAGCTATGATGGAAAACAGTATGACACTTAATTAAAGAACTAGCAATAGAAACGCCATTTGATCCAGTAATCTCTCTACCACTATTATCAAAGAAAATGATTTTACATCAAAAGGAGAGGATTTTGAAGGCTACAGGGAAGTGGAGGAGAGTGAGGAGGGAGGAAGAAAGGGAGAGAGGAAGTACGGAGAGACAGATAAAAAATGGGCCACATACACGGGATTTTCTGGGACCTTGTC